ACATTATTATGAATACTGAACGCCCTCATGCTCACTTGAATGGTCGCAGCTCAACAGCAGAGCCCTAGCCCATGCATTACAGGACGGCATGCACGCACCACGACGACTGTCCCCGCAGAGTCCCCAAAGTCGTTCTCTCGAGCGACAGACCTCCGCTGGCCGTTACACCACGCCCGCTGTGTGGACCGACCGGTTCCGCCAGCGCTCGATAGCGACACATTCTGCTTGCGGTCAATGGCAGCCTTTATCAGGTATCCCATGCTGAACGAGATAGTGACGGGTAGTGCGGACACTGGACAGCATCTTCTCGGCAGTGTCTGTGACTGCAAGAGCCAGTGACAGGGCAAGCCGCAAATTGCGGGAGGCAGTGGAGATCAGAAACGATGACCCAGAGATCAACACCAGTGCTGGATGGTCATTACTCTAAAACAGTCACACCACACTGGTTATCTAGGTGACAGTATTTTCCGGACAAACACTGACATGGTCACATTCGTGTATTGCTCGCGAGAAACCTGTTCAGACATTTCTCAAGTTATCTGGTGACATCTGCGCTGTGCTAACTTATTACCAACACCCAGCATATGAGTCAGTGAAAACTTGTGATCTTTCACTAGTTTTAGACATGTCATATTCCCAGCACTGAGGTGACATGTGTAGTCATAGAAATATTATCAACATCTAAGAACACCAAATTAGTGTATCTAACTGCTCCTTTGCAGACTTCCACTTCATATTGCATCCTGATGATGGCAATTTGCCGAAACGTTAAAAATGATTCTGTGAAATGAAATGAGTTGTGAATTTGCAGTGCCCAGGGAATGAGCATGTGTGCTCACCAATTCTCTTCGAAAATTAACAGTTGCACAAATATGAGAGTACCTGTGGGTGCCTGTGGAGCGATAAAATGCTTAAACTTACAAGCAAACAGTGTAGGATACATGCAACGGGCTACTGGCACTGTGTAAAGACTAAGTGGTGGTTCTTAGCAGGAAGGGGGTGTACGAGTTTGCTCTCCCTGCACTTCTGCTATTTCTGCTCCTATTTCTGTTGGTTATTGCACAAGAACTCTCCAATTTTAAGTTCCGATATTAGCAAATGTTGGGCTTTTTCTGAAAATATGGATGCCATTTCAGCAACTAGCACTTGTTTTGGCACGGTTGCGGAACGCATAAGTTGCGAAACATTATGGCTTCTTTGGGAAAGGGATAGGCTACTGCACAGTCACGGCTGCTAAAATCCAGTGATTATGACTTCGTATCATGAATGATACATGTACGCAGAGTCAATGTCCGCACTACCCGTCACTATCTCGTCCAGCATAGGATACCTGATAAAGGCTGGTTCACTCGCCCCTTATGCTACATGTACTGTATCCGTGCGAGAAAGAACTTTGAAGAAGACGAGTTCGAGCATACGATAATGTATTCTACCCTGCCTTTCACTGAAAACACTGTCTGCATGACCTCCGAACCCTTTACCACCATCACTGATCAGGTGGTGCGTTGTACAAGTAGTGTCACGTACACATAACAATTCTGTAGCCTACATACTGAACTGTGGTACAATCATGTAGCTATGCTCCTACCTCCGAAAGGATGTTAATGCCGGCAACATCCGCCGGTGCCTAGTGAGATTTAGAGAATGAGTGTGTTCGTGTTTTTTTCCAAGCTAGTTCGGTAGATGTGCATACTTAGGCCAGATAGTGTTGTGTCCGTTGCCAACGGGCTCGGCTGCTTGAAGGTGTAATGTTGTACCTACCACCTTTGTTGGTTCCAGGGTTCATATACTTCGAAGTACTTTCTATTTGAAGTATACATACCTGTTAACCATGGACTGCTTCTGGCTAGATTAACTCTTGGGTAATCAATGGTGCCAGTGAAGCTTATATCAAATCCACACTGATCTAGCCACCCACACTAGTAGCAAGTATTACCGTCAATGGGGGCAGGGGTAACTGCAGTTGGATCGCGGGACGGACACCCTGATGCCGTCAATCCTTTTTCTGCACCTTGTCCTCACCCACTTACTGAGGTGTGGTGAGCCCATAAGTGGGATCATTTTCAAGTCCACCCTAGAGAATTGTGATTATCCGGCATGACACCACTGTGGAGGGCATTGTCGCTGAAAGGTTTGGCCTTCTATGACTTTGGTTTGACCCAGACTAATGCTGCTGACCACTGCTGTGTCCTCGAGCACCAGAAAGAGAGTTTGGGTGCCCTCGGACTTTCTGATCGCGGAATAACCAACGCATTTGTGAGGAGTATCCTCAGCACGCTCGGCTATTGCCAGCAGCTGACGTGGCTCGCCCCCGCCAGGATGCCAGCTGTCCACAGATGCATTGTGGCTCTGGCATCTCTCCTGCCAAAGTTACGCAAGCTCTGCATGCTATCGCTGCCTCGGAATGTTTTCCGGGGGGGGGGGGGGGGGGGGCGGGAGAAAAGGCCGATCTATTTGCGACATCCGTTGCACGCTGCAAGTTCCTCAAGGAGCTGCGCATGCGGGTAGAGGCCCTTGTAGCAGCACAGCTACGAGAGGCGCTAAACGCTATCTGCAGAGCCGACCTGAGCGTGCAGTACCTGTATGCCTGTATGCTGGCTGGTAGATCAGGGAAGCATGACCATACTAAAGTCGGCTTTTCCAGAGATCGACTGCTACGTCAGTCATGTACTCATATCATGTGTGCCAATCATTTCGCACCACATGTACGCATGCATAATACATTTGTATGCTTTGGCGCGGCATTTAGTCCTTTATTTTAGTTTCTACCGCCCACAGCCGCACCAAGTCCTTGGCTACACAAAATGAAAACCTTTCCAAATCTCTCCAAAATAAACTTTAAATTCTTTCCAATTTTTATGCCCTTCGTTCTTTTTTAGATCTGCGTCACAAGTACTTGATTCCCTGCTCTTGATTTCCATAAGATCCTGCATAGCAGCGGTGACTCAATTTTCCGCTCTCTTGATACTGTAATCTACATCAGTACATGTAACTGGTACAATACATCGTCATACTACTATATGCATACACATGTTAAAAAAGTAAATTATCGTATCCGTTCCCGAAGGGAACTCACGACGGCCGCTAACACCCGATAAACCCTAGCGGCAGATGCAGCGCCTAACGGTGGGGGTGAGTGGGCAAGTCTCACAACCACTGGCACAAGTGTTGAAAACGACCCCATTAGCTGCATCCATGTACCCCTTGTGCCTGGCCACAAGTTCCCAGTTGACTGTGGGTAGCAGCACGGCTGGAAAAACCGCTCCCAGGCAGGACTTGAACCAGGTACCTCTCCCGTATCTCAATCATGGTTTTTGACCAACCCACTATGCCTGCCTGGTCCATGTTACAGTGCTGCCAAATAATTTTCACCCAAAATCGGACACCCTTCACCGCCAAGGCTGGCCACACGGTGCGAATTTTTCTCCTCGGCAAATTTTTTACAGAGAATTCAAAATATCGCCTAAAACACCATGAAAATTCGCTTCGTTGCCATGGTAACCCCGCAGTTGTCATGAATTTTGTAATGATGAGTGTGGTCGCACACTGACTCTGTACAGACTGTCAGTGTACATGCCATCCAGCCTGATCCAGGCATGTTACTTTGCACTTCCACAGCCAAGCGCTAGCCTTTTTAGAAGCAAATGTACAGTGATTTGTGCCTTCAGTTGCGCTGAAAAGTGAAAGGACAGGACTTCTGCATAGGGAAGTAATGATCTCTGACATTTTGGCTGCTTTTCGGACGTTTCCCTTTTCGGATCGGTTTTCGGAAGAGCCTTCAAAAATCGGACGGTTTGTCAGCACTGCATGTACGTGCTAGCGACTAACAGCGACATTGTTCAACATAATAATTGTCTTGCTTCGCCTGAGGGCACTTCTACGATCCGCTTCAGATGGTGATCGCCCTTGCCACACTGCCTTTGGTTCAGCGCCTCAAAGGATGGTCAATAATATGGCTATCGCACTATCTCGAAGAAGCCTCTGCTTCTGGTAAAAGCTTGGCATGGTTCATAATTCATAAAGGCGTCTGCCATTGTACCGTTGAAAACCTGCCACTTACAAAGTAAAGTTGAAGGTGGAACAAGTGTGTTATTGCTGCAACTCTTGTGTATGAAAACACGCGGATATCTTCGGACACGATCCTCTCGTTTGTGCTCGCAGTAGGCAGCTTGGTGTCGAATTCGTGACCATTCCTAATATAATTATAATGGCTTTATTTCAGCATTACCCAAAGGCTGACGCCTATCGGGGGGATCTCCTATTTTGTATAGGCGATGAACATTGGAGTTGGGAAAAGAGAAAGTGTGCTGTCGGGTACATGCTATTCCTTGTACCCTACATATCTCACGGCGTACACGTACCATGCACATGTCTTACTCTTGAGCCCACCTTGACAGCCTCTGTTAGTGTTAGGTAGAACGTATCGTCCTTCCTTGGCCCACACGTCTCCATACGTACGGGCTTTCGGCGAAGGAAAAGGTAATTCCCCTATCAGGTGTCTAGTGATCGAAATCTCAGAATCCATCAGGCTTCTCTTTGTGCTGTGTCATAGACACGTCGTCATTTGTCACTGTCACCTACGTAATCGTTCTGAGGACCTCTCCCTCTCTCTGGCTCTCTCTCTACCTCCCTCTACATCCCCCCCCCCCTCTCTCTCTCTCTCTCTCTCTCTCTCTCTCACATACACACACCTGATCTTTGACGCCCATCGCCGGAGGCGATGATAGCAATGCTACGACAGAAGCCATAGCAACTTGTGCTGGGATTGCACCATTCAACAGCTTGCAAAGCTGAAGAATTGACCGTCACTATTCAGCCTGGTCTACACCATACAGCTACATGTATTTGAAGTGACTTTTTCTGGCCAGTGAATCCCTACATACACACACACACACACACACACACACACAAACACACACAAACACACACACACGTACACACACACACACACACACACACACGCACAAGCGCACGAAAGGGGGGGTGCATTCTGTTGAGACACATGTGGTATAGCGTGAGTTCAAGTCGGCAGTCAAAACGCGAGTTCTTACGTTCTCATACACTATACACTGTACATATTGGGAGCAACACACTATTCCTAAATTTTCGCTAAAGTCGCTACACACACTTGTACAACTTAAATACTACAAAGGCAGAAGGGAACAGTGACAATTGGTCATTGTCGTAATGCTGTGTTTCATGCACGTGGCAATCCTCACACAAATGAGGAGCCACGCAAATAATTATTACTCAGTGAAATCCGAACCAGAGTGCAAAGTTGGCGCCCTGGACCACATGTAGTTCCGATAACTAGTACATCATTGTATTGTGCATGTGTACGTCCAAGCGTATTCGTGGCACTTCCAGGGCATGCTTGTTGAACGCGGTAAATATGCACTCTTGGTGAGATTTCGCCAAGCGCAATTGTACCACTGTAACCCTAATCAAGCGTGATCTACTGATGAACATGACTGATTGTAATCTGGCTCTTACGAACCGAATGATGAGTTTGTTTCCATTATTTTGTTACTACAGTACTTGTTATTTGCAGCCACCAAAGCACTCAAGATTCCTATGGTAAGCACCGGCTAACACACGGCGACATGACTACACGCACACTGACAGACCAGATCACCAAATAATAATAATAATAATAATTATTAAATTTAATAATAATCCCATAAGGTCGGTTTTCGCATCTGACGGCTCCAATCGTCTCGCCTTCTTTTCCGCCGCCGACTGTGTGACCTCGCCTCAGCACGCTCCGTGCCGTAGCAGATCTTGCATTTTCCTCCCTTCCTTCTCCCAAGCTCAGAGCATTCGCAACTCTGGTACTGCGCTGAAAGTTGTTCGAGCGATCGTTCGGCTCTTTCGATGTCACTTAGTAGTCTAGGTGTGACGTCACTAGCTTTGATGCTGATATACTTGCGTGGCTCTGACTTGATGAAATGTTGTACCTCGATCAGGCTGATGATAATGCATGTGTGTACATTCCACGGGCAAAGCAGATACTTCTTAGTCTCGAGCTTACGTCCTGCACGCGTATCCAAGGCACCCACGTACTGTGCAGACTCCCTGATGCTGGTCGATGCATAGATGAACACCTGCACTGAGGTGTGCCGATCCATGTCTAGGTCTGGGCGTGCCGTGTACTTACATGTGCGACACGTCTGCGGCTCCGGACTCGGATGAAACCAGCTGCGTCCGCACCTGCACCAGAACGTTCGTGCCGGCCTACTCTCCACTAGCTTGAGGCGGCGGCAGTCAACACGCAGCCTGGTGCACATCTCACAGCCACTGGTTTGATGTACAGCCGGAATGGTCCCGGTCCGTTCCGTACCCTGCACATGTCGTGTATGGGTCGTGTTCCTACCTCGTCTTCTGCTCGGTACTAATGCCGTGGATGTAGTAGTAGACTGGACAGAACTTCCAGATCTCCTTGATTCTCCGGATGGTGCAGAACCATTCCTGCTGGGATTATCCTCTGTTCCAGCGCGGCGAGTAAGTAGCGCTCGCTGTCTGTGTGGATACACAATGCGATTGCATTTCTTGCAGCGCTGATACATGTCGCGCCAAGAGTTGCTGCTCGCCCACTTGTTATCGCACAGCTGGCAGTGAAATTCAGCCCAGCTGCGCTTGGCGCCTTGATACGGAGTCAATTTTCTCCTAGTGCCACTCTCCGGGGTTCTTCTTGCAGTCGTGAGCATTCTGCGTTGAGCGCGTCGCTCTCGTTTCTGTGGATCTGAGTTTTCGTAGACTGAGAAGAAATTGGCTAGGAGAATATCACTCCTCTCACGAGGATTTACAATTACTCGGGGTGTCTTGTGCAACCAGTTGAATGACTATGAGGCGTCAAAATGCCTGTCTGGGCTTTGCCAGGCTATTGCGATCTGCGCGGCGCACCCCTGAATGAATCACTCCATGTCAGGGAACCGAGCAGAACGCACGCGACTGAGAGAAAGGGGCAAAGAGAACACGCACACCCCGTGACTTGTAGCCGTGGACGGAAAGATTGCTGTCGTGATTTCGATTTCGCTCAGTGCAGCCCGGTTTTCCCCGGGTCCAGCTCACATGCGCCTCGGCGCTAGCGCCCTTCTAGAATCCGGTATGTACTCGTACCAGTGCATTGTACAATTATAGCAATAAAAACTGCTTTATGGCAGTTTTCTAAAAAAAGTTATTGTGTTCTAGTCCATGGACCCCGTCTAAAAAGTAAGAAATTAACGAAATGTGATAGCCGAAAATTAAAATTTCACACAAAACCTCACAATAATCACACACAGGATGAAAAGTGAGAAGACCTTTTCCCCTCGTGGTCCTCTTTTCTATTCATGCATGTTGGCGCAGTACTCGTACAAGTCACCCGTGAAGTGTCAGACCAAGATGGACTCTTGGTCAGACTAAACAAGTGCTGAAAGCAGTATTTTTTTAAAACTAAGATCCTCAAGTGTTGTGATTATTGTGAGGTTTTGTGTGAAATTTTAATTTTCGGCTATCACATTTCGTTAATTTCTTACTTTTTAGACGGGGTCCATGGACTAGAACACAATAACTTTTTTTAGAAAACTGCCATAAAGCAGTTTTTATTGCTATAATTTCTTTTTGTTTTTTTAGCTAAGGATATTATCAAGACTAGACAAGAGTCCATAAACAAGAGTGTGCAACTGTGATCTCTTTTCTATGGGCCAGATGCGCGGCGCGCTGCCTTCATTATTATCATTCAGCTGCAGTCCGCGCACTGCGGAAAATCAAACACCGCACTTAGACTTTCCCTCTGGTTTGAAATGAACTTTCGTACGGAACTAGAGTTCACGGCCTTCACGCGCCAGAATTCAGAGATCGCGTAGATACTGGAACCAAGAGTCCATAAACAGTTTATGCACTCTTGATATTATTTTATAATAATTGTGTCACCAATGGAATGCCTCTATATATATATATATGTACATGTGCATCATTATCAAATTCAATACCGTATTTTACGCATTGATGTGCAAGCCTTTCCTTGCAGAAAATGGCACTACATATATAGTCTTGCATATTCATGTTCTTCTGCAGGGGGAATCATATGGGTAGTGGCGGTGATACTTTCTTTTATACGCATGTCATTCTGTGGATGTTACTGTTGCAGAATTTCATGACTCTGTCTTAAAATTGTCTTGTCTTTCAGAAAATTCAGATGTCCACACCCTAAATCACAATTTACTTGAGAATTGTAACCAGGTGCGTGCCGCTGATGTTTTTGTTGATTCTGTGTTTATAATTGTAGTCATGGGTTGTCGTGATAAGGTCATCCGGCATCATATTGTACTGAAATTGTAATCCTGTTGATGTCAATAAAATTTTTGGAAGCTGTTCAATGACTTCAAAGTGTTACAAGTCCACGATTGTCTAAAACAACACAGCAAAGTAGGAACAATAAACATGTATTAAAATGTAAACAAATACATTGTCCGACACCTCGTTCCAACAACTACACTGATCCTGAGGATATAAGGGGCAAGGATATATGGTTGGAGGTACTGAGAGATAAACAAGGCACTCCATAATAATAGAATGTTACACGACTTTGGGGGAGTATGAATGATATCCAGTCAAACCTCTTTAGGATAGCCATTGGCGGACTATGCTCGGCCAATCGTCAAATTATGCTTTTGATTATGCCACAATTATGCTGAATTATGCTCGGTTCCACTATGTATTCACGCTGTACATAGTGCATTGAGAAACCACGCACACACACGGCCATGCCCTAAGCATAATTTTTGTCTAAACCGAAAGATTATACTGACCTTACACGTTGAAATCCATATATTATGCCGGAGGACAAAGCTGTATGATGCCCTAAGCATAATTTTTTGTCTAAACCGAAAGATTATGCCGACCTTACACGTTGGAATCCGTATATGCCGGAGCATTATTTTTTGACGAAATCCCAAGATTATGCCAAAATTTTAATAATGCCGGCATAATCCGCCAAGGGCTACTTTAGGATGAACATCAAGGGACCGATGGTATCTGTTCTATGAGTTTGTCTTAACCCTATTTTATAACGAGTGAATACAATTATTTCTCCAATAGAGACACGAATAGATTTCTTCTACAGCGAAAGATTCTAAGCCAGACCAAACCATTGACTCGTCTTGTATGAAACAAATGAGTCACTGAACCTTTCTGTAGCAACATGACGGCAACTGAAACAACAGCAGAGAAAATACGATACATGCACAGCACATTCTTGCAGGTACTACAAACAGATTGCAGATCGCAATTCTTGCTCTGCCGGCACGCAACTTTATTTGGGGCAGTGCAATCTCGGCGCTACTCACAAATCAAACAGCCCAGACTCGAGTAAACAAATCCAATCGTACGAGATTTTCACGAGACGAGACTGCACCCATTGGCTTGTTTCGTATGAAGCAAACAAGTCACTGAATGCATGAACCTCTTCATAATGGAGATTTTCGCTGATATGCGAATTTATTATGCATGCTCGGCCGATGCGTCCTTGAACCTTTCCCTCCAGATTGGGAACTGCCAACGATGCTATGCCACTGCAAAATTCAGATTCTACCCTTTGATCGCAGCACGGAATGCCGGAAGCAATCATGACCAGTGCCTTACTTGTAACGTACCAATGTACAATGAACATGAGTATTTCGACAACACATCTAAGCCTCAGCAGCAAGATAAGCCTTACCGTCAAGAAGGTGAACTCGCGTACTTCGCACACTGTTGGCAAGGGCAAGGAGATACGAGTGGATCTAAATCCGAATAAAATCAGCACACGTTTCCGTAAATGAAAGGGTGGGCATAAGCAAATGAATCGAAGGAAAGTGGTCAACTCAGAGATCACCTGTCATTGAGTATTCCGTAAAAGGAGGCCTCGACAGCAGAAAAGCTAAATTTAGAAAAGAGATAATGGCAGCTTTTCCATTATTTATTGTATTCCACCTAAACTCAGCACACACACACTTTTCGTAAATGAAAGAGTCAACACAAGCAAATGAATCAAAGGGAACTGGTCAACTCACCTGTCATTGAGTAATATTCCGTGAAAGGAGGTCTCAGCAGAGCCGAAGCGAAATAAGCCAGGACACGAAATATCCGAAACAGCTCATGCAAGAAGCAGTTCCAAAGAAGGAAGTTCCTCGCGCATGCACATCCGAAAACGGACTGCACTGCACTGCAACACAATGTCTTCCGTGCACGTGCACAGCACGCGGCTACCACTCGTTGGTAGATCTAATACCGAGCACCTTACGTAGAAACCTACGTAGCCTAAGTGAAATACCGAGCACCTTACGTAGAAACCTACGTAGCATAGCGATGTCGTTTTTTCTGCCATGTGAACACAATAATAGAAAAGCTGACAGGATCGCTTTTCTAAATGTACACGTATGTGAGACTTGGTACGGAGCACGGAGCAACTGGCCGCGGTCTCAAAATAGTAAGTCACTCTGTAGCGACCTGACTCACTGAGTATTACGTCATTCTACAAACGCATGCGCAAGAAATAAAATCATTCTCTTTGGTCACAACTTCTTCGTTGTCCGGTTGGCCAAAGTAGCCGTCGTCTAGGGCCCGACGTAAAACCCCAAATTGGTGACCCCTGACGCTGCGCTCTTCGGAGTTTTGAGCATGCCATCCCTGAGCTCGGCCCGCCGCAGTTTCCTGCTCGCCTCAACTCTCGGGATCCCGTCAATCGCCGGCTGTTGACGTAAAACTTGAGCCTCACCACCACTCGTCACTGGATCCGCCTCGGAGCTGCTGTGGCCCTGCCACCCTCCCGGCCCACCTGGATACCCCGCTATCCTGCCACGGCACATCGTCCAGTCGTCTTCGTCCTGGCCTCAAGCTGGAAATTGGCCACCTCCACCCGTCGTACCAGCTCACTCACTGTGCACGCACGCAGGCACACGCCCGGCACCGGACCCCATGGAGCTGCGCTCGCCTCCATCTGTCCCCGCCTCAGTCGGCACGCCTCGCCCCAGTGCAGCGCTCCTGCTGGTATCCCGCCAAGCCTGCAACATGCAGCCGCCTCTGACATGATAATACTCCTCTGTCACTCGTACATTTCCTTTCTTTCTGCCTCTGACACGATAACACTCCTCTGTCACGCGTACATTCCTCTTTTCTTTCTTTCTGCCTCTGACATGCTCTCCACCTCTGTCACGTTAACACACCTCTGACATGTTAACCCGCCTCTGTCATGCATCTCTCTCATTTCCGCTTCCTGCTTTTTTTGATTTTGTTTCGGCCTTTGTTGCCACGTTACAAACAAATTTCACACACGCAGCGCTCTCGCCTGTACATATGTATCATATTATTATATTTTTTGCCTTTCCGCCTTGTACATGCTGCGCTTTCCTTTCTCTTCTCTTTCTTGTTTATCGTGCTTCGCTCCTCCCGACCTCACCACTGGCGGGGGAGTACTGTAGCGACCTGACTCACTGAGTATTACGTCATTCTACAAACGCATGCGCAAGAAATAAAACCATTCTCTTTGGTCACAACTTCTTCGTTGTCCGGTTGGCCAAAGTAGCCGTCGTCTAGGGCCCGACGTAAAACCCCAAAACTCTGTCGACTGGTTGACATACGTATCTTGCACAGTAATGAGGATTGGTAAATGAGGTTTCGGTCCACTGAAAAAGTACGACATAATAAAAAATATGCATGTATGGCGCTACCCGTCAGGAAATCGGGATACCGGTAGGCAGTTACACCTACAGATCAATACAGCAACACGGCGCTGAGAAATCGGTGCTTTTCACCGAGACTGAGGAAAAGAAATTATGGCCAGCAGACTAAAGACTAGTAATCTCCCCGAGCACTGAAAAGGTGGTTGTTGTCTTGTTGACAGGCTGCCATTTACACATTGTACAGCCATCGTGACCCACAGCAGAGACTTCTGTGTGTATTGTTGTTGTGAAAGTGAC